ACCTATTTACTGCTAGGTAACAGGGGCATTTAGGGTGAAAGAAACTTTGCCCATTTGTTTCTGCCTCGTGCGGGAATCGAACCCGCGCCACAGAATTACGAGTCCTGCGCGCTATCCACCAGGCTACGAGGCCCCTCGTATATATACATATATACAAAAATACAATTCACAGCTTCGTGTCATTTTTTGCAGATGATTAAAAAATCGACACGAAAATTACTTCTGTAGAAGATACTGAAAAACTAAGACACATAAATAAACAATTATATCAACAAGTGGCACCTCTTAAGTGTATGTGAGAATCCCTGAGTGTGTATGGGTGTGTGTGGGGGGCAGGGGGAGAGTGTAAGATGAGAGAGTGTGAGAGAGGAAGGTGAGACGGAGAGTGTTGAAGGGGAGTGTGGGAAGAGAGACTGTGTTAGTGGAGAGTGAGGGAGGAGGGGAGAGTGAGGGAGGAGGGGAGAGTGTGGGGGGGATAGTAAGGGACGGGGGAGAGAGGGTGTGGGAGGGGAGGGAGAGTAAGGGACGGGGGAGAGAGGGTGTGGGAGGGGAGGGAGAGTAAGGGACGGGGGAGAGAGGGTGTGGGAGAGGAGGGAGAGGGTGCATGTGGAGATGTCAACCTCACGTACCAAATCAACTTTGCTTCGCCCGACGACTACTGACCAGCCGCTCCACCGCTATACACAAGCTGGTGCTCAGAGGTGTAGCGAGGGTACACAGAGGTGTAGCGAGGGTACACAGAGGTGTAGCGAGGGTACACAGGAGAGGTGTCCCTAGGGTACACAGGAAGGTGTAGCTAGGGCACACACAGGGGAGGTGTACTAACAATGTACCAATATTACCCCAACCCTCCCCATAACACTGTACAATTTGACTGCTGCCGTCACCATATCATTGTTATTCATAACTAATTTCATTCATCCAGCTTTGAGCTAAATATTTCGGCAGGAAATATAGCAACAAAAAATGCAAAAGAAAACTTACAAACCCATGCTATGAAAATATGTGAATAAGTGAGGGAAGCCACCAATCACATCCACGATCACGCCTCCTCCCACGCCCACATCCACGCCCACACACACGCCCACGCCCACATCCTGGGCCTCCCTCACTCTCACACCCACACTGACGTGCGGAAATAGTGAGAGGAGACAAACACATTAACACTATTGACCTTGAATCGCCATGTTCAATGAATGTCTAAGTATGAGAAAGACAAAGGAGAGAGGGAGTAGGAGATGAGGAGAGAGAGAGAGAGAGAGAGAGAGAGAGAGAGAGAGAGAGAGAGAGAGAGAGAGAGAGAGAGAGAGAGAGAGAGAGAGAGAGAGAGAGAGAGAGAGAGAGAGAGAGAGAGAGAGAGAGAGAGATAATACATATTCAAGAAAGCCCGTTCAGTTGCAGCTCTCATATTGAGCCGCATCGCTACATGGCATCATTCACTAAACAAATCCAAGATCAGCTGTGTCGTTGCAATGGACACTGCAGACGCCTGTGACAGGGTAATTACACTATGTAATTACCCTGTGACAGGGTAATTACACTACACTATGACAGGTATTACACTATGTATTCCTGCCAATGTTTCAACCACAAGAATCCCGGGTTCTGCTCTACAGCTAATAACAGACTAAATTTCAGAACTGAATCTACAGGGCTTCCCACATATCCACTAACCCGGTTGGTTCGGCAAGTTTATCAGTAAAGTGTCGATTTTTTTTCCTGGAAGAAGTCCACTTTCCTTCCTATAATATTTCTTATGCTTGCTGGGAAAACACTGAACAGCTGTGTTGAATTCTGATGCTAATTGATACATATTAACAAATGTTAAATCTTTAATTTAATTTATATTACATATAACGTTGTTGCGGCCACATATCTGGCGCCACTGCTCCATTCCATACCAAGAAATCAAATTGAAATAAACTAATTTAAATAATTAAAATGGCTAATGGAAACCTAATTTACCATTTGATTTTTGCATCGTTCACTACAGTTATAATGGAAGTCTCTCAGAGCACACATGATCTGACAAGTCATCAAGTATTCTCATTGTACTTTGAACTGTTTACCAGCAAAGAGTAAACATTATAGTCATATAAGTGTTCGGACATCAAGTTTCATGTTACATCTTTCATTTTGGTATCAAATTGTGCGCATACTAAAGGCGCTTATTTTGATACCATCCCTAGGTCGATTGGATAAAAAATGAATTTTATACAAATATTTTTGTAGTTGATGCAAGTCCGGTCCTCGGTTAGGACTCAGGGGAAAAATAATGGACGAGAGGCCGGTCCAAAGTTACCGATAGTCTTATTGATTTCAAAGAACTTTGTGTGTAGTTATGGGTATTGATTGTCTAGGACCCTGGTGATGGTCCGAGGCATGGACACTGTAGTCTCCCCTCAGAGTGTGACCCTGGTGATGGTCCGAGGCATGGACACTGTAGTCTCCCTTCAGAGTGTGACCCTGGTGATGGTCCGAGGCATGGACACTGTAGTCTCCCTTCAGAGTGTGACCCTGGTGATGGTCCGAGGCATGGACACTGTAGTCTCCCTTCAGAGTGTGACCCTGGTGATGGTCCGAGGCATGGACACTGTAGTCTCCCATCAGAGTGTGACCCTGGTGATGGTCCGAGGCATGGACACTGTAATCTCCCCTCAGAGTGTGACCCTGGTGATGGTCCGAGGCATGGACACTGTAGTCTCCCCTCAGAGTGTGACCCTGGTGATGGTCCGAGGCATGGACACTGTAATCTCCCCTCAGAGTGTGACCCTGGTGATGGTCCGAGGCATGGACACTGTAGTCTCCCCTCAGAGTGTGACCCTGGTGATGGTTCGAGGCATGGACACTGTAGTCTCCCCTCAGAGTGTGACCCTGGTGATGGTCCGAGGCATGGACACTGTAGTCTCCCTTCAGAGTGTGACCCTGGTGATGGTCCGAGGCATGGACACTGTAGTCTCCCTTCAGAGTGTGACCCTGGTGATGGTCCGAGGCATGGACACTGTAGTCTCCCTTCAGAGTGTGACCCTGGTGATGGTCCGAGGCATGGACACTGTAGTCTCCCTTCAGAGTGTGACCCTGGTGATGGTCCGTGGCATGGACACTGTAGTCTCCCTTCAGAGTGTGACCCTGGTGATGGTCCGAGGCATGGACACTGTAATCTCCCCTCAGAGTGTGACCCTGGTGATGGTCCGAGGCATGGACACTGTAGTCTCCCTTCAGAGTGTGACCCTGGTGATGGTCCGAGGCATGGACACTGTAGTCTCCCTTCAGAGTGTGACCCTGGTGATGGTCCGAGGCATGGACACTGTAGTCTCCCCTCAGAGTGTGACCCTGGTGATGGTTCGAGGCATGGACACTGTAGTCTCCCCTCAGAGTGTGACCCTGTAGTCTCCCCTCAGAGTGTGACCCTGTAGTCTCCCCTCAGAGTGTGACCCTGTAGTCTCCCCCTCAGAGTGTGACCCTGTAGTCTCCCCTCAGTGTGACCCTGTAGTCTCCCCTCAGTGTGACCCTGTAGTCTCCCCTCAGAGTGTGACCCTGTAGTCTCCCCTCAGAGTGTGACCCTGCTTGATACCTGGTTGATGGGGTTCTGGGAGTTCTTCTACTCCCCAAGCCCGGCCCGAGGCCAGGCTTGACTTGTGAGAGTTTGGTCCACCAGGCTGTTGCTTGGAGCGACCCACAGGCCCATATACCCACCACAGCCCGGTCGGTCCGGCACTCCTTGGAGGAAACAATCTAGTTTCCTCTTGAAGATGTCCACTGTTGTTCCGGCAATATTTCTTATGCTCGCTGGGAGGGTGTTGACCCTGAAGTCAACCCTCAGAGTGTGACCCTGTAGTCTCCCCTCAGAGTGTGACCCTGGTGTTGGTCCTGAATACACAGTACTTCCCTCTCCCTCACAGTGTCAACACGGGTGTACTAGCCACAGTGTTCTTACACCCACATTTACACGGACTAAATGTGTAAATGGAGATCCCAACACTAAAAAAAAACACCACCAATTCCTCTCAAAGAATTGGACCAAAGCTGAGAGAAAGAGTAAAGCGCTTTACATCATTTACTTTACAAAGCGACCCGTTTCAGCGTTTCCTGTTGCTCTGATCACTATGTACCCTTAGTTCTCCTTAGACTAGCAGCAGATTCTGCATAGCCTATAGCCTCAGGGGGCACACACCCCGCCTCGAGTCACCCCCAAGACACTTCCGGACAGTGTGACCTATCTGCTCAATACCCCTTATCCGTCAAGGATGTAAATCATTATAGTTACAGTGGAAGGCTTATCACTGATGAAGGCTATTCAACAGTCACTGATGCTGA